GTAAGGATATGACCATGGAGGGTTTTCTTTGCCGCTGCATAATCGCGCTTAGTCAATACGTATTACTGAGTCCTGGATTGCAAACAGCACAAACATGGAAAGCAGGCGTGAAAATGCTGAGCCCTCGGAAAAATGGATTCACCCATTGCAGCACATGGGAATTGTGACGATCAATTGTTCTGTCTACATCCGAAACTACGTCAACAGATGTACATCGCTTCCCCATTCTTTGAACGGCCTGTCCAGGCAAATCCATAATAGCCCAGTCATCCCTACTTAGTCGACAATATTCTTGTACCGATAAGGCTTCGCAGTAACAGAACCGACACCCCAGCCAACGGAGCGAACCCATTTAACACAGCCATCGGTCCCCTTGCACTCGAGCGTGTTGTACTTCTTGTGGCTGGAGTCGGTCCACGAGTGGAAGAGAACGACGTGGCCGGCAGCACCTCCAGTGCCAGCAGCAAGTGTTCCCACCATGTCACCCGCCTTGATATCACTGTAGGAAATTGGGTTTGCAATTTGGCCTAGCGTCACAGTGCTGTATCCAGGAGAGGCGGCATGCAGAGCCATGGATACGAAACCAGAGCAGTCGGTGCGGTAGTTTCTACCCTGCGGATCGGGATACTGCTTATTCATAGAGTAAGGGATGTGCTTGGATACCCAATATTGGCCACGGTCCATAATCTCCTTGCGGGTGATCTTGCCGCCTACTGAGGAACCTCCGCCGCCGCTGCCGCCGCCGCACTGACCGGTGACCATGCCGTTGGAGCCAGTCTTGACGTAGTAGTCGGAGACGAAGCACCCGTCTTGGGTTTTGTCCCAAAGGTTATTACCAGAGACCGTCTCTCCGGCAACCTGGCAGCTGATCTTGATGTCATTGCCCTTGTTATAGGTCTTGATGACCTTGTCATGGGTGGAAGGGCCAGAGCGGCAGTTGACAGTGGTGCCCGTGATTGGATATGCGCTGACCATGGGAAGGGCCGCGGAAAGGGTGACGGCCAGGAGTTTGAGCTGCATGATGGCTTTGAGATTGGCAGGGTAATTCGTTGGTTTTTTTTTTGTTCTTCTGTTGTTGTTCTGCGTGATATTCCAGTTGTAATGTATAAGATGAGGAGGTTTGTTAAAAGGATGCGCCTGTTGGACAGAACTCCAAGATGTCTTGGTTAGTATTTATACTCGTCTTCATTTGAACTAAAATTACCACAGAGTTGATTGCTTACTGTTTGGACATAACGTCGTTTCCTTCAGCTGTGATGCTGGTGGAGTTGAGCTGAAGATGAAGACGCGGAGTGGCAGGGATCTACGGCGTTATGGCAGGCATTCTACTCCAAAAATAGAAGCCATTTGGGAAGCGATCTCTGTCGAGACATGATGAATGGTTCGACATAAGCTTATTTTCGGCGCAATCATGAACGTTTGATGATGCTGCAGAGAGCTGGCGATCACAATTTGTTGTCATCTTCTGCCGTTGGTGTTCCGATTATAGAAATGGGTTGCGCTGCTCCTTCCTGATTCGGGGAGCATCGCGGACGCCTGCTCAGTGCTGACAGCTAACGCAGCTAGCCTCACCCGGGACCGCAGCAGAGGACGTAGACCTTGCAATCTAGATACCAGGGCACAGTTTTCATTTCCATCGACTGGCCGCAAAGAATCCATTAGGAACATTGAAACAAGCCGCCGCTGGCATGATAACGAACATGCCGTCTCGTGGTGCTGTGGATCTTGGCGTTGTGGACTCGTGGTGGGCGACTCGCTCGACGTCCAGTCGCACATGCACCCATGAAAGACGAGCCAACTCCTCCATTCAGCTTGATGCAATTCACTGTCCTGTTGGGAGAATTTCACTCCCTCTGGTTCCTTTGAGAGTCAAGGTGCCTTTGTCGCATTTCCCCGAATGTCAACGCCTTGCTGTCTTCGGCTGAACGCGGTTTAGCGTGTGTGCACCGCGCCCAGTTCAAAAATTTCTTCAACGCTCGGTTGGCATCTCACCACTCCTGTCAGAAATGTCCAACGCCTCGGTTGAGAATTCAATATCGGACCTCCTGACGCTGATTATCACGACGTCACCGACCCTCTCGGCCCCCTCTACCGAGCTGCTCTCTGCCGTCCTCTCGTCGTTTCGCGCTCATTGCGCTCCGTTGTTGAACTGCAGCGTCATTGTCGTGTTCGACGCATGCGAACAAATTACCGCTCATCCCCGGCTCAAGAAAGGCTATGTCACACAAAAGAGCGCCCAGGACTACGAGACATACAAAAAGAACGTTAAACATCTCTTCCTGGAGGAATATCTGCAGACCACCTCCGAGCGGACAGAGCTGACAGAATGTTGCGGCGAAGCTGAGTACGGCTCGCCATCCAGCACGCCGGTTCTTTTCACCACTTCCTCCACAGCAGATGGCCGAATTACCTTCATTGAGGCCACGGGTCAGCGCCTGGGGTTCGGTTTGGCAGTTCGTACGGCACTCCGAGCAGTGGCAACTCCCTACGTCTGGGTACACCAGCATGACTGGGCTCTCATCTATGATGTCCCAATCACACATCTCCTTGGCATCATGACGGCCTCGGAGTTGGCCGACGACGACGGGAGACCCATCAAATACGTCTGTCTGCCCTCTGGCCGCAGGACCTCCTACGCCACGTCGGACCAAGTCATGCCGTTTCCAGAGCTACGGAAGCTCGCCATTGCCCTTAGTGGCGATTATATATCGCCAGGGAGTTCCTCAACCGCCGTCCCGCTGACGCCCATGTTCTTTTGGCACGATAAGCCGCATATCGCTTCGACAGCGCACTATCTTGGGCGTGTTTTCCCCAGCAGGCTGGCCATGATGCGCGGGGCATTCATCGAGGACACGATCGGGCAGAGAGCCAGGAGCCAGATGAAGGAAGGGCAGTGGGCCAAATGGGCAACCTGGCTTTACAACCCCCAAGATGGCAAGCAAGTGTGCTTGAGACATCTCCATGGCAGGACGTGGAGAGGTGAGGAGGAGGAAATCAGGATGAAGGCGGTACATCGTGAGCGAAACCTGGCTGCATTGCGCCAGTTGGCAGATGCAACGAACGGCAATAAAATGGCCAACACCAACTCTAGGTTCCTAGAAGACGACTCAGAGACAGAAATCAGCCTGGACTTCTTTCGAGAAGAGACGTGAGCTTTCTTCGGACTTTGCGTCGCTCTTTCACGTGCTCGAACAACCTCGGTGTCCAGTGGTCGCGACGCCAGCGCCTTTCATCTCGATGCATTGAACTTTTATTTTCGCATGGTGATCCAAGCCGACCATACGGGTAGGCGGGCAAGGTCGACGTCTTGGGGGTCGGAGGCGGCGCATCCGAAAATATCCCGTATGGGCACGTCTTGCATGTTCTTTTTTTTTTTTTTAGATGCAATGAGACCATCGTGATCATGCTGCCTTCGGAGCCGTGAAGTTCCCGAAACCTAGGTCACCTTGGCCTTTTCTCGTCGCATGTTTTTGGCGATAGTCGTGTGAAGCGAGCTCGAAATAGTATCTCGGGTACCGGCTGCCCCCGAGATGTTATATTTAGGTCGCGCGGATATCGTTTGTTTCGGATGCCGCCTACCCCATGACTGGGTCGGCTTGAATTTACACCGACGGCACACGTGGGTGACAGATGTGTTGATTTACACGCCGTTCCTGTGCAGAGACCTGAAACTTGGAGTCCATTTTTTCTTCTTTTTTTGCATCCTCGATCTAAGCGATTCAGTACAGAGCTATCTTTCTTTATATAACTACGTACATGAAATGTATGAAACGAAACTTTTAAGCTTATGCTACCTCTGACAAATACGCCAACACAGCTAGCAACTTGCTCCAGGGTCCTCCAGCTAGCCAAGGGCCTCTTAGGCGGTAGACCTTGATAGGCATGGTCGAGCGGCGCACGGATATGCAGCGAGCCTAGATACTGAGCTGATCTCTTTGCGGCTATAAGGACGTTGTGCTCCGGGAACAAGCAAGACTAAGCGGATACGCGAACTCGTTGGACCATCTTTCGGAATTCAATGTCGACCTCTTGGTGTAGTTGGAGGAGCCTCCTTGTCGAGGTTTCACCGCGTTCCGATTCTACGGATCGGACATTTTTCAACCTTGTGAGATGGCTTCATAGTCTAAAAATATCGCAAGGCGTTTCTGTTCCGGTGGAAGCTCTTGTTCTGTGTAGACGCAACTGTGTGTCTGGCGTACAGAGCCTGGCATGGGCATATCATGGATCGGCCAAACGGCCCATCCAGAATAGTCGGCAGCATCTGCCGAAATGCAAGGCACCAAAGCTCAACTGCACAGTGCTGTCTATCGAGTCCTAGCGTTGATTCTTGCCTCTATATGTACTCATTAGACAGATGACAATCGGTGGCATTTCCGGCGCCGTCCGGATATCCGGGCTGCTAAAGCCAAGCAGCCACCAGCAGCACGTCACTAAACAAGGTTGTGGCGTTTCTTTCTCCAGTCTGCCACCAGACGCCTTGGCCTCATTCGTTTATCGAATCGGTATTGCCAGACGTGGGTTCCGCTGCAACGGCAGATCGACTTGGACCGCTCACCCGCTCACCTTCGGTCGGGACAACTCTTGATCACTCATCCTTCCTGGCCCGTAGCCGTAGCCCTACGGTGAGGCGGCATCCCTGATAAGCACCTGGCGCTTTCCAAACTGAAACTAACGCCCTGCATGGTTTGTTTGCACGCTGCGGATCCGAGCGCAGCTTTCGCAGGGCTGTGCTCGTTTCTCGCTTCGGTTACTAAATTTGAAGAAATCCCTGCATGTGCATCCTGGCCACGATAGCGGGCCGGTGGCAGCTACTACTGTACATTAAGAGGGACGTTCGAGAATATGTACATGATCAATGCTCATTGGATCTGAAATTGTCGTTATTTATTTATTTTTTTAATTCCCTTCTTTTTTGTTCTTTACAATCCACCATCCCGGCCCCCCCCCCCTTTTAGCTACTTTGCATGTTGAATAAACAAGATTACCCGGGAAAAGACAAAATGACAACACGCCAAGATCAATCCAGGTCTCCCTCCAGACCTCGTCGGTTCTATAAACGATCTACTGTAGCTTGCAAAGCCTGCCACGGCCGCAAGGTGCGATGCAACGTCGCCCTGTCGGGGATACCCTGCGCGAATTGTGCCGCAGACGGCGCCGTATGCGAGATTGCGCAGAGGAAAAGACGAATGTACCGTATTCCCTATCCTGCGCTCCATTTAATTGTATACAATATACAATGCATTGGAAAAAATCGCCGACGGTGGCTAAAACAGGCGTCGGTACGCTCCATTTAGAAACCCGGATCAGCTTCGCGCCACGCCCGACAGCCAGCAGGGCAACTCGACGTCGCCGGCACACAGCCATGATCACCCCGAAAATGAGGCAGACGACATTCCCGGCCGCCGATATCCCCCGGGTCTCCAGGCGAATGAGGCGGCATCCAACGCCGCGGGCATGGTGTCGGGGTTTGCGCCTGGCCCTCCGCGAGACGACCAGATGAATGGAACTCGCAGCCCGTATTACCTAGGTACGACATGTTCTTTTATTCTCTTCTTCTGCTTCGTTCTTTTATTCTCTTCTTCTGCTTCTTCTTGTCCCTTGTTCCTTTCCCAGTGTATGACAGACTCACAAGTCTTGTTTCATTCTTCTAGGCGACGAAAGGGGACCGCTAGCCTTGGCCATCAACATTTGCCGCGACGATGGCCTCAAATCCTCCAGACATGCCCTCCTGCCCATGAACAACAGCGCGCCACTGACCCCGCAGGACTGGCAGTACCTGGAGCAAAGAGGCTGCTTCAGCCTGCCGTCTCGCGAGATGCAGGACGCGTTGCTCCGCGCCTACTTTCACTATGTGCATCCCTTTGCGCCCGTCATCGACGTGGCCGACTTTGTCTATCGCTACACGACCGGCCACGTGAGCGTCTTGCTGCTTTGGAGCATATTTGCCGCGGCAGGCAGCGTGAGTCGCGTCTACACTCGGGAGTTGAGAGCCGAGACGGAGCTGACCAGTGTCTGCAGTTTATCGACGAGCAGCTGCCGACTAACGAGCTCGGGGCGACGAGGATCGAGGTCAAGGCGGCGGCGTTTGAGCGGGCAAAGGCGCTCTACGACTTGGAGTACGAACGGGAAACGATAGTGCTCATCCAGTCGACGTACCTGATGAGCTACCGGCTCGGGTGCCTCAACGACGTCAAGGGGCCGTGGTACTGGATCGGCGTCGCCATCAACCTCGCCTACACGGCCGGGCTTCACCGTCTGCCGCCTCCCGACTCGCCGGACTCGCCCGCCGGCAACTCGCGGCTCTGGATCCAGCTCTTTTGGAGCGTCTACTGCCGCGACGTCTGGCTGTGCCTCGCCTACAGCCGGCCGGTGCGCATCCTCCTCAGCGAGGTGACGACGCCCATCCCGACCCGCGTCCAGCTCGCGTCGGCCCCCGTCGAGGTCCCCGACGACATCTACCACCGCTACCTGCCCTACGAGATCAACGAGCTGGCCCGCCTGTGGCTGTGCCTCGTCAGGATCAGCGCCACCCTGGGCAGCGTGCTGTCGTCCTTTTACACGGCCAAGTCGTCGGGCCCAACGCGCCAGCAGATCGACTACATGGAGCACGAGATCGAGGCGCACCTCGCGGACCTCCCGGCCGGGAGCCACAGGAGCGAGCTCGTCATGATCCATGTACACCAGATCCGGCTGTATCACGAGTACGCAACCAACCCCCCCTTTTCCCCTTCACGACGCCGTGTATCACTCCGTATGTATATGTCTAACCGAGCCCCTGCCCCAGAGCAACAACAGCCATCCTGTACATCCCCCAGAACCATAGCCTGCCGTACGAAAGCCCAGCCAAGCACACCGATTCCCTCCAGTCTCTGTGCCTCCGGAAAATGCGCGCCTCGGCGCTGCGAATCACGCACCTGATCAACGTCATGATAGGCGAAGGCCTCACCACGCACGTCCACATGCTCACGTACAGTCCTCCCCCCCCAAATACCCACAATAACAGAAGTACAAGAACTAACGCGCGCAAGCAGCGTTATTGCCATGATCCCCTCGATGCAGGTGCACCTCGTCGACCTCATGTCCTCGAGCCAGCCGACGCGGCAGGCGGGCGAGCACAACCTGCACCTGTGCATGGTGCTCCTCGACAACCTGCGCACGACGCACGTCTCGGCCAAGGCGACGCACTGCCTGTTCAACGCGGCCATTGAGAAGATCAAGAACAAGCCCACGTCGTGTCCGTGCCCGCTGCTGACGGGCGGCGGGTCCGCATCGGCGGCGGCGGCGGCGTCTTCGGGCCCCGCGTCGGCCTCGGGCTCGGATAACCGGAGCATCGTGACCGACGACGACAACGAGAGCCTGTTTCCTGTTGCCGTGCCGGGAATGTCGTATCTGGATATGCTGCCGATGATGTCGCCCGACGGGGAGTTTTCGCTGCATGAGTAGGAGCTTACTTTCTTTTCTTTTTTTTTGGGTTGTGCCTGCCAACGACTATTTTTATCTTGTGACCTGGGGGCCGGAAATACAGCATTTTTTATTCCGTCTATTTTAATGGAGCATACTGTTACATGTACTTTTATGACTACTACCATTTATTACTCCGTAGCTACTCTGCACAATGTGCTAGCTGCCTTATTTTTTATTTTATTATTTATTTTGGACCCGTGTTTCTATATTTACATCGTGTATAAACGTCCCCCGGCCCCGCCCCGCACCTCCGGCCCCCGAACCATGTGGCCGAATCTGCGCGCGGGTACCCGCTGCTGCCTACCGTAGGGACTAGTCAAGCGCCGCACGTGGAATTGTAACACACACACTTTCGGGTCGTGGTCGTGCATGGCCTGGTTTCTCCGTCGGCCCGCATCGTGCATGGCCAGGATTCACCCTTGTCTTCATGTCGCTCGCCAAAGTACAAGTCTTGGCCGTCACGTTCTCGATAGATGCAGCCAAGTATACAAGACGAGAACCAAACAGAAATCGACTTTATTACGCCCTCGACAAGATTAAAACTTCCTACACAACACTCGAATCAAGATATTTGGCAAACAAACAAATGTGCCCCTATTAGCAGTCCTCCTCCTCGCCCGCTTACACAACAACCTCCACCACCACCCATCCGTTCCTCGCAAAGCTCCCGTCCGCTCAGAAATTAGCAGTTGGTCGGCCGGTACGCCTTGAGCGACTTGTCGCCGCCGGGCACGGCGCCCTGCGCAGCAGCCATGTACTTGTCAATGGCGGGCAGCACGTGCGGGCAGCGGTCCTGGTTCATAGCCCTGACCAGCGTCTTGACCTCGTCGGGCTTCATGGTCGACCCCCGCTTCGACATGAGCGTCAGCCCGTCGACGATGAACTGGAACGTGTCCTGGTTGACCAGCACGTCGTGGGCGTCGGCGACGCTGGCGTCCCTCGCGGCCGCCGTGCCGTTGAGGAACACGCGGTCCAGGACGGCCTTGTGCAGCAGCTCGTCGTTTTCGGCGTCGAGCGCAATCTTGCCCTGCCGCTGGAGCTCCTGGGGGTCCATGGACTCGGCGTTGGACAGGAAGTTGGACACGGTGCCCGTGTCGTTGCGCCACGCGCGCGCCGCGGTGTCGATCTGCTGGCTGGTCGGCGTCTGGCCGCTTCCGCTGCCGCTGCCGCCGCCGGCTGCGCCCGTCAGGGGGGACAGGAAGCTGTCCACCATGTTGCCGAGGGCGCCAAAGATGGGAACGGCCACGGCCGCGTGTCCCTGGAGGACGATGACGAGGGGAGCGATGACGTTTTGGGGCCGCATTTTGGTCCTTGCTGTGCTGCGTGTAAATAGCAGGTAGGTGATAGAGGTGAAAGAAAGAAAGAAAGAAACAAGCTCAACGACTAGGACTGTTGATGATAATGAAAGAATAACGCTGCTGCGGCTGCTCTTGGTGTTGTTGTTGCAAACGAGTGTGAGTAATAAGTATCAGATGAAGGCTAGTGTGGGCGTGAGATCACTGAGATGATGGCCAGGTGCTGCTTCCCACGATGCCACAGGACACACAAGACCAATGATATATATACCTTTCCCCGTCGAGTTACACATGACTGTAGTGGTTTTTCCTGCTCGGCGGTAAATAATGGGCCTGTCCGCACAGAAGCTCTCTGTGTAACTTTTTTGTTTCCAACGCTTCGGCGATGCCCACCACGAGCGCAAACTCTACATTATAGTCTTTGTCGCCGGAAATGAGGCACGTTTTAGATGCTACCCACTTTTGACTCTCGAGCATCGTACAGACCGTTATATATGGGCCCATCGTGGTAGATTGCGAGAATCCGTCGTGGGCGCCACGCGCGGGTGACGGTTGCATCCCCACCGGCATTGTCAAAGCACATCGACACATGCCTCCCGCACGCGGCGACCTGTTTGTTTCAGGTCATCACCGCTACGGTGCTGTACTACGGCGCGCAGAAAGCTTATGTGCCGAGGGACTTTGTGGGCTGGGTGGCCAGATGCGATGGCCTGGGATAGGAGGTTATTGGTGCTCTGGACTGCAATGTCGAGATTCGACGTTGGCTGAGGCGGAACTTGTTATGAGGGACGGGGAGGGGGGGATCGAATGATTTGCTTTTGACCGCGGCTTTGATGTTTCGGACCCTTAAGCTATTGTGCTTTACGACAACGGATAAAGTTTTCAGATGATTATCGTATGGCCCATTGATCGCTGTTGGAAGTCAAAAGTGCGGCGTTTTGGCTTCAACCCTCAACCCATACATAACAATGGATACATTTGGCGTGTTCATTTAATCATGGCCGTGTTGCAGTGCGAGGGCGCTCTCCTTCCATCTTGTAATTGAACTTATTGCTCTTTGTTGATAATTCAACCAAACTCTATCAATTATAGGCCGTATGTCACGAGCCTGTAATCTAAATCGTGATGCCTGGATTTTTTGACAGGCCTCTTCTTAGACGATGAACCATCTGGTCCGCTGGCACGGTCACCTCTTGACAGCAGTGAACTTGCTCTTACAATGCAGTGAGACATGGAGGCAGTGTTGCTTTTGAGCCAACAAAGTCTCAAGTCATGATGGAAGGGAGGCATGCTGTTCCTCATGGCCTTCGACATCTTGTCCGTCTGAATCCCCGCAGTAAGGCAGTTCCGGCAAGATGCGCCTCGCCTCCCTTCTCGCCTTCTTTAGGCGGCGCTTGGCCTTGACACCCAGCTTCGTCTTGTTGGGGTTCGCATCCAGCGGCGGCTTGTCAATCCACACGGGCAGCGCAACAGGGGCGTGGGCAATGGCGTCGAGGGTGCGGAACAGCTCTTGGCTGGCGGCAGTGGTCTCGGGCGCCCTACGGCCGTCGCGCACGGCAATCATGAGCAGGGCCTTGAGGGCAAAGTGTGCGTCGTTGCCGGCGGCATGGAGGTTCGCGTAGGGAATGGCGAATTCGTCCAGCAGCTTCTCTATGCTGTAGCGGTAGTACAGCTGGAGCGGGTGCTGGGCAGCCTTGACCGTGTCCATGATGTAGGCGGCGGGGGCAGCGATTCCGGGGTCCAGGTTATTCAGGAACTTGATCTCCTCGCGCGTGCCGTGGGCGACGAGCACGTAGGCCCTGCCCGCGGTGAGGCGGGCGAATCTGGTGGTGAAGTCGGGCAGCGCGATGCGCTCCGTGTCCCCGAAGAGGAACGACCGGGCGGCCCACCTGCATGGCCGCGAGTCTGTGTTGATGAATTGGTGCGAGGAGATGGCGGCGGCGGGATCGCGGAGCTGCGTGGTGATGAGGTGGCGTGTGTCCAAGATGGAGACGCCAATGTGGAAGCTTTGACCTGGGGAAATGACTTCGTAGCCCCCGCCAGTGTCGACGTCTACGGCCACGAGGAGGACGTCTTTGACGTGGGTTCCGGGGAGGGAGTGGCTGATTGGGGGCAGGTTGTATGGCGGCACGGGGAGGAGGGATTCGAGGCGGTATCCTAGGATTTGGCGGAGGGCAATGTTTTCCTCGCGCAGGATGCCCGCGTGCTGGCCCGGGACTGGGGGCATTGATGATGGTGAATGTGATGGTGGTTTGGCGGGTGGGTGGTGTTGGGGCCGACTAACCCCGATTTGGAAATACCATCTGCCAGTACGGAGTACGGAGTACCTGGACAAGAAATGTCTGGTCGATGCGGCGTCGAACAGGCTCTGGAAGCACTTGAGACTTGAGGGGTGCAAGTTGCACCGACAAAGAATCGCAGGTGACTGGGATTTAAACACGCAGCTCATCCTTGGAATTCTGGACGGACAGAGCCAGCGCCACTAGACAAAGTGCCTTGTGCAAGCTTCGACCGTCGGTACAAGAAGAAGAATAGCATTTGGCGGCACGAGTTCTGACAAACTATGGGTATGGAGTCTGGACAGCTGCCTATTGTCATCGACGACGGTGGAGGAGTAGGGCACGTCGACATTTCCGCCAAGTGCGCCACGGGACCTGAGAAGGGTCTGGTGTTCGGGGCATTCCATTAGGGGCGCGGGTTTCGTCCCAAAGTCCGAATGTCTCATTCAATGTCAGTACGTACTTGTTGCCCCTCCTCCCATGTGATGAGCGCACGCACTTCATGTTGGTTCAGCCCGCGGCGCCCCACTAACTGCCATGAAGTTTCAAAACGCATCAATCCCTTTGAACATGCAAAGGTCTCATTGCTGTAGCGGACCAGGGTTCTGGCCAACAACAAATGCTGTTACGGAGTAAAGGACATTTAAATTTACTAAGAAATCATATGATAATAAGTACCTAGGTGCCTATCAGCTTTAAAGATGTAGAGAGGTGTAAAAGATGATCAGCTGCTCTCGTTGGCTCAAAGTATCTTCAGGTACTTCGTACTTCAGGCCAATTATGGAAGACGTCCGGTGGGACGAATAGAGCAGGAGGACCTCTCACTTCAAAGCCGGTAATGTGTGTGTGTGATGAAGCCGCCCAGCATGGCCATGGCTAAAAATAACACAAACAAAAATTCCCCGAACTTGTCCGCTGCCTAGCACTATCCTTTAGCCACTCAAGTCGACCAGTCAACTTGTGGCCTACTGGCCGGCGGCGCCCACGCACACTGGCGACAGCCGAAGTGTCACCATGTCCGAGGCTCTGGAGTCTGCGGCACATGGAACTATCGAGTCTGGTACAAGAGCAGAGCCGCTCAGACCGTGACACACATTCTCAAACATCAACAGCACTCTTCTTCCCAAATGCCTCGGCGATTAGTGGATCTGCCAAACATTCAATGTTGTAGTTGGCGATGTCGAAAAAAAAAAAAGGGAGACATGGAAGAAGAAGAAAACCCAATAGTATACAAAGCAGGGCCGTATGCTCCAGATTCCGTATGTACAAGGCCAGCTATAAAACAAGTCTGCCTCCTCAAGCAGAGAGTGCAAATAATTTCCAAATCCTCACACCGCATCCCATTCAGCTCTCATCGCATCCAACCAAGAACTTTAATACCCTTTCCCCCCCTTTTTCCCACCCT